ATTGGATCATGCTTTGACTTCCTCTGGATCAACTGTGTGTGTATAGGAATATAACATTTTATTTATTTATTTTTATCTATTTTTATTTTTTTCATGGTTGAACTAGATGGACTTTTTGTCTTTTTTTTTTTTTTTTTTTTTTTCAGCCAGGCTAACTATGTAACTGTCCATAACTGTATAAGATAGTTGCGCAGCATATTTGTGTTCTCTTGCTATGATCGAAGTGTCCTGTTTTTATTCTATAACAATTTCTTCTGTGTGTGATCCTCTGCGTGCATGTGTAATTTCCCATCACAGATGTTCTTCTTAGGTACTTATCTTGACTGCCTGTCTGTACTCTGTGGCATTTTACCCTTAGGGTGATGTCGCATGAGAGCTTTTCCTGTCAGTGATTTTTAATTGGAAATTGCCTCCTAAAAATTCTACACTTAATTTATAATCTCTGCATCATCTCTGTATGGGGGAAACCCTTTGTTACTGTATTATTTGGAAAAGTACTTCTGCTTTGACAGGATGGCAGGCATGGAATTCCTGGCAAGAGGAGCTTTCCTCTGACATTTTCCTGACTAAGACATTTTTCTAAAAGCAGATTTGAGAAGTGGAAATTGATTTGGCTTTGATTTTATTCTGAAAATAAACAATGGACAAATTAATTTATCATTCAATAAGCTATTCACTCTAATTTATACATTTGGTGTCACATTAAAGGGGACCAGGAAAAAAATAACCATACTAGCAGTTTTTTTTTTTTTTTTTAGGACCATTGGCTACCTGTCTTTTGCAGTTTGTTCTGCTCTGCTAGAAGATATCTGTTTATATTATTTTTATTCTCTAACTTTTTATGTCTCTCTGCTTATTGTAATTTTGTTTTATCTGATTTAATTTTATTCTTTTTATCTACTGACATTTTAAAGGAAGAGTGCACCTTTCTTTTTCTACTCTACTTCCCAAACATTCATTTTTGAAAATACTTACCTACAGCCCATCTGGAATGTTCAACTCCCCCCACCACGCAGCCTCTGCCCAGATGATTTGGAGCAGAGACTGCTCAGCACCAGGAATGCTGCAAGGGGAAGATATTTAAGGAGTAGGGCTGTTGGTATAGCCCGATACACGCACAACAGAAAACGGCCTACCTTCGGTATGTGTGTGCTGCTGTCTATTCAACAGAACCTGGTCTAACGGTCATGCTGGAAAACCAGCATTCAATCAGCGCATGCTGCCATTGGTGCCCCTGTCAGAATATAATTAAACAATGGGAGAGATCCCCGCATCAACATTTTTTTTTTTCTCAACCTGTTGGTTGAATAAAAAAACAAAACTGCATGTATACCCAGCTTAAATGTAGCCTTCTGTGAATGTGTTAGGGTGTTGAAAAGATAAGTGCACTAGTTTAATTTGCAGATTGTTACAGAGATTTGAGTCAAAGGCTGGATAGGTTTGAGCCATCTATAGTGTAGCTCAGGGGTCTCCAAACTGTGACAAAGAGTCAGTTTACTGCCCTTCAGATTTTAAAGGGGCCGAACTTTGACCATTGGGAGTAGAAAAGTCCCCAAAGTCAGCAGGAACAAATAATGCCTCTTTGTTTTGTTTCATTGGGAGTAATTGAGCCCCTACATTGGTGTCGGTGGGAGGAATAGTGCCCCATTGTTGTTGCCACTAGGCAGATTAGTGCCCCATCATTTTTGCAACTGGGAGGAAGCATGCCCCATAGTTTGTGCCACTGGGAGGAATGGTGCCCCATAGTTTGTGCCACTGGGGGAGGAATGGTGCCCCATAGTTTGTGCCACTGGGAGGAATGGTGCCCCATAGTTTGTGCCACTGGGAGGAATGGTGCCCCATAGTTTGTGCCACTGGGAGGAACGGTGCCCCATCGTTTTTGCCACTGGGAGGAACGGTGCCCCATCGTTTTTGCCACTGGGAGGAACGGTGCCCCATCGTTTTTGCCACTGGGAGGAACGGTGCCCCATCGTTTTTGCCACTGGGAGGAACGGTGCCCCATCGTTTTTGCCACTGGGAGGAACGGTGCCCCATCGTTTTTGCCACTGGGAGGAACGGTGCCCCATCGTTTTTGCCACTGGGAGGAACGGTGCCCCATCGTTTTTGCCACTGGGAGGGAACGGTGCCCCATCGTTTTTGCCACTGGGAGGAACGGTGCCCCATCGTTTTTGCCACTGGGAGGAACGGTGCCCCATCGTTTTTGCCACTGGGAGGAACGGTGCCCCATCGTTTTTGCCACTGGGGGACGGGAAATAGTTTTTGTGCCACTGGGAGGAAATATAGTGTCCCAAGGGCAAGATAAAAGCAAGCAAAGGGTCTCTTCTGGCCCCTGGGATGCAGTTTGGAGACCACTGGTGTAGCTTCTTGATGTAAAGGGTGCTGAATTGTATCTCCACCTTCTTGCCTACACTCCTGGGAAAAAAAAGATCTAAACCCTTAAAGCAGAGTCCCAGCGCTGCCATCTTGACTAAAGAAACCGTCAATGAAGCCTTGCGGCTTCACAGTCTGTTTCCTATTGTGCATGCGCAAAGCGTGCTGGGCTTTGTGAATGGGCCACAGTCCTCTGAAACTATCCCAGAGGGTTGCGGGGGACCTGAACTGAGCCAAAAGTGGGAGTGGGTGCCTATCAAAACCAGGTACCTGCTCCCCCCCTTGCCCCCAAAAGGTGCCAAATGTGGCAGCACAAGGGGGGGAGGAGGCAGAAAAGCGGAGCTTCCACTTTTGGGTGGAACTCCTCTTTAATGGAATGTGCGCATGACAAGTAGCATAACAAAATTTAAGAAGACGCCGCCACTCACGTGAGCACAAAATGCTGATCCCAAAAAGCCGATTCTACAAACAGTTGCGGGCCTGGCTCACCACCACATTCGCTATGAAACAAGGAAAAGGATGGACACACACTATGCGGGGATGTCCATATGAATCTCTTTTATTGCAATTCAACAAATCACAGGAGGTCACAGAATTTCAATAAAAGATATTTATATGGACATCCCTGCATAGTGTACAGCCATCCTATTCCTTGTTTTATGGAGGACGAGTAGCATTGGGTGCATTCAGCATAGTGTTCCAGCCTTTCTTTCTAAAATACCATTCCTTTGATTTAACCAAATATGATTTAGCAACTATCTGTAAATGGTGTACACGTTGCTGGTAATTCCACATTTTATTATTCATGTAATAAGTAGTACAGTCAGCTAAAATGTGCTATACATATATTAATGAGAGAATGTAGGAATGTTTTTCATAATCTAATAGTGATTCTCTGTAATAAACTAATTTGTCAGTGAATGCATACCTTTTTTTTCAGTTCTGATCATTATTCTAAATGTTACTTGTTACAAATGCAAATATTTGCCATAACAAAATATATTTTGAATGCAGTAATTTATGCATATACGTGTGTATGCACAAGTCTAAAATACACCAGTGTATACACGTAAACTGAAACACTGGTAGCTAACAGGAGGGCGAACAGTAATTTTCCATGTGTTTATGCGTACACACATTTACGCACCTGTACAGGTGTATATTCAAAGTCTTTACAGGGCATAACTTGATCTTGCATGTAAATATTACTAATTTATTATGTATGTGTGCAAGAGGCTTTAAAGCCATCATTTTAACGTGTAACATGCCCATAGCGTTGCTTTAGTTTTACAGCACAAAAGAGAGTGCACAATTGTTTCTCATATTTGGAAGTCAAACAATACAGTGTATGTGAACTGTAGCAATAAATATTTTTCATTTGCTCCCTTTTGGTTTGTTAAACATGCCATTGAAAGTGTTTTTTTACACCTGTTACACCTGTTCAACATGTGCATCAAGCTAGAGTTTTGTGGGTTGATAACTTCTTGTACTCTCTGCATCTGGACTGTTATTAGCATTGTTCCCTGCTTTCTCTGTGGACTACAAAACACCTCCCCTTGGTATGAAGGAGAGGGAGATATGTCGTCCTAACTTACTCCCTTTCCTTGGGTGACAGTGCTGCTTAGGATGGTTGTCACCCTAGGACAGAGTGAGGTAATGGTAGAGTTATCAGGTTAAAATGAAGGAAGAAAATTAACGCAGTCACCACTGTTAAGGACTGGTAAGCGGCAGTGCGATCAGTTTTTGTTCCTGTGTTTAGATGCGCTTTAATGTCAAGTTTAATTTAAGGCAGACACCGCTTACTTTCAGGTGCATTCATTTTACATGTAGAGGTTGGTTTGAGATCTTCAGAGTCCATTGACAGAGGCATTTGACCACCTCCTAAGCCACATAAACCACCTTTAAGCCATATTTTTGTGTTTCTGTTGTCTTAACTCTGTAGCCCAGGACTGTGGTATAGCTAGATACAGAGGAGATCAAGTAACATCCGTTCCCTGATCTACATTGTGACTAATAAACTTGGAAATTATGAAGATTCCGTCACTTCTGGTTGCTGCTACAGCCTGGCAAGCAGTTAATGCTAATTAGCTGCACTGAAACACAGGGGTGACATTGGGGTCTACTAGACCCCTGATCTCTCCATAAAGAGGACCTGTCACCTGCCTAGTGCCATTTATTGGGTGCTTGTTCGCTTTTATTACTCCATGTGGCATCACCAGGCATGTAAAATTCTTGCACTGACAGTTTCTTGGAGGAAGAAGAGACAGAGTGCTCCCCCCCAGGACTATATCATCTAAGAGCCCTTTCTGTGGGGTGGTGTGGGCTGTTTTGAGAAGGAATGTATGTGTGTAGTGAAGGACACAGAGGCACAGGGATAACTAAAGATATGTAGTCTAGCAGAGGAGAACTGAAGCAGGTCGGACAACACTGCTTTGGAATACACTGCAGCTGTCGTTGCATCGTTGGCCATGAGTTTACTGGATTTCTGACAGAATCCCACAACAATTTTCTGTACTAGCAGTATTCTAAATAGATAAAACATGGGGAAATGTGCATGTATTGCAGAGCCATACTGCATATTTTTTTTTTGTCCATACATTCTTAAATATTTATATATGTTTTTCTTTCAGATGCTGGATGTGTATGATATTCTTCCGTTTGATAATCCAGATGGTGGGGTTTGGAAGCAAGGTTTTGATATAACCTATGATGAACATGATTGGGATAATGAGATTCTTCAGGTCTTTCTTGTGCCTCACTCCCACAACGACCCAGGTAATGTATGAATGTAGGCTTATTCTGAAGAACAGGTAGTCCGAAACTGAAATGTTCACAAGGGGGCTAACCGTTTCCTCCTCATGGGTGCATTATTTCCAGAAAGAAAGGAAGAAAAAAAACTAAATGCCAATAACCTCAAACTTATGTTTTCCTTTTTTTGTGCAATGTTCATTCAAAAGTAGATTGATGACCGGAACTAATTTCTTCTTGTAGATCAAATTGTTACTGCATTTCTGATAGAAAAGATTCACAAAAATTGCAGATTTCCTGGTTTACCTGACCTGGTAATATGTAAACATATTTGAATCCGGAAACAGAATTTGGTTTGATTTTTACTTTACCATTATTTATTTAAAAAACTTTTTTTTATTGGCTAGGTTATCATCTGCAATGACCTCAAATGTTGTTTTGCTGAATTAACTTTCTAAGTTTTTGCAGCCAAAACATTTTGAAAACACCTGTAGCTTTGGACAAAAAAAAATGTAAAGCTGAACTCCAAGCAAATGGTTTAATATACAGATAAATATTTTTGGAAGCTGTTTTACCTGCCAAAAGGCTTGTATTTCTTCTTTCCCCTTTTTTCCTGAAATTTAAACAGTTCTGCTACACAGCACAGCCCTGCCTAGCAGGGCATAAGACATGATTTTTCCCTGTTTCAGTTATAGTGTCACTAAACACTTGTGTTAAACTCCCCTTAATCCAGCATACAGTGCTAAACGGCAGAAGTTTATTTAAATGCTAAAATGAACATACATACACATACACTTTTATTTCTCGTCTTAAATGTTCTTTCTGTGCACCTTTTTCCTCTTATCTCCACTTTGTGTGTGCAAGTAGCACATGTCCATTGTCATCACATGCATCACCACAGTTGTCACACCACTGCTGTTATATCTTAAGCCTCAGGATCTCCTGGTCACCCACTGCTGGGGGTGGTGACGGGATCTGCGAATTCCCAACAGAGCACAACAATGTAATAGAGGATAGGCATTCTAGGCACCATTGCATTCTTAAACAGACACCACTGTATGCTTACACATGTGGTAACACCAACCTTCAAAGTGAGATTTGGCATGCATACGTGCATGCATACCTCCTGGCTCCCCTGCATATTATTTCCAGCAAGCCTGATTCTCAGCACTCTTGTATGCTCGATCCCAGGTTTCCTGCTGCACAGGATAGATACAGGGAGTTGGGAGGTATGTGTGTAGGAGTGGCTTCCTTCCAGACCCCCAGATGGAGACCACTGTGGTCCCTGATGCTTGAGCTGCCAGTACCACAGTTGTCAGTGTGGGGAAGCACACCAATCCCAGTCCACCCTGAAAATCTAAGACTGGTGCAGTGCTAGCCCCTTCTTCTTACAACAGAAGTCTTGGTGCCAGCTGTCACCCTGAAGGCTGTGGGAACTGCTGTGTGGGTGGTGAATAAGGCAATGGGCAGTTTACTATGCTTGTCCTGTAGTCCTTGTCAGGATCACACAGAGGAGGGTGGCTACATTCTTGCATACAGTGGGAACATGTAGAGCAAGAGAATCTGTCTTCCTAGAGGAATTTGGAGCGTTCAGATGCATTTTTCTGGTTGTCCGGTTTAAAGGGCACTACCATTAGAAGGGGCACAGATGGATCCAAATGAAGGTATTGAGTATGTATGTGTGTGTGTGTATGTATATATTTAATGTAATTTAAGTGACACTTAACAGGTCTTGTCCTTCCCCCAATTTGTGACTGGACAGTGAAAAGTGAAGTAGCAGAGCCTATCTGTCTGGTACCATAACTTCTAATTATGTCATCATGTTCCTTCTTGGCGCATGAACAGTGCAGAACACCTGATTGGCTACTTGCGCTACTACTACTCCCTCAGTCCCTGTTCTGCTGTACATGGGATTGGAAGAGGCTCATACCAAGTCAAATTCAGTCACCTATATAGCTGCATTTTAATACATATACCAATCCGCTATAAGAACATGACCACCCCCTTAGTATTGCATAGGGCCCCATTTTTGCCTCCAAAACAGCCCTGAGACATCCACATGAATGACAGGACGCAGGGTTTCCAAACAGAACATTGCCTCCACTGGCTTCCCGGTGCCATCTTTTTCAGCAACGCACACACCTGGCCATGATGTTAAAGAAAATGTGATTAATCAGAGCAGGCCACCTTCCTTTCCTTTTATGCTCCAATTCTGATGCTTGCTTGGCCATTGTAGACACTTTTGGCTGTAGACATGGGTCAGCATGGGAACTGAAACTTTATCGGTCTGCTGCTGTGCAGCCCCATACACAACAAACTGTGATGCATTGTAAATTCTGACATCTTTCTTTTGAAACCAGCATTAACTTTCTCTGCAGTTCAGCTACAGTAACTCTTCTGTTAAATCTGACCACATGAGACGAGACTTTGCTTCCCACGTCCATCAATGAGCTTGGCTGCCCATAACCCTGTTTCCGGTTTTCTTTCCTTGGACCACTCTTGGTAGGTCCTGAGTACTGCAGCATGGCAACATCCCACAAGAGCTGCTGTTTTGGAGTTCCCCTGACCCAGTCATCTAGCTATTACAATTTGGCCTTTGTCAAAGTTGCTCAAATCCTTATACTTGCTTAATTTTTTTTTTTCAATGCCTCAACTTCAGGGATGACATGTTTGTTTGCTGCCTAATATATCCCACCCACTTTCTGATACCATTGTAATGAAGTAATCAATGTTATTTGCTTTGCCTGTCAGTGGCCATAATGTTTGGCCGATCAGTGTACAATTATGTACTAATGAATAGGGATGCACCAAAATTTCGGTGGCCGAAATGAAAAAAAAAGCACCCATACAGGTGCTGAAAAATCCTCATCGCTGCCGCCACTGGCACCAGCTGTCGCTCGTTAGTTCAGCGTTACTTGAGAAACCATTGATCTTGACACTGGGCATAGAGATGAGTGAAGGAAAGATGGCCGCCACTCTCTATGCCCTTGGAGGATCGGAGCGATGTCATTTCCTTTCTGGCCTTTTTTTTTTTTTTTTTTTTTTTTTAAAAGCACTAGATCAATGCTTTTTTTCATCCAATGCTTTACATTGCAGAGAAGAGATATGGGGTCTTATTGACCCCATATATCTCCATAAAGAGGACCAGTCACTAATTATTTCTTTCACAAGTAATGCATGCATTTCTTGTGATAAGCATAAAAGTGATTACATTTTTTTTAAAGGAACAGTGCAAAAAAACCGAAAACATTAAATACATTTTTTTTTTTAAATTTAAAGTGCCCCCGTCCCCCCGTGCTCGTATGTAGTGGTGAACGTAGGCCATGCCCACATATGTAAATGCTGTTCAAACCACACATGTGAGGTATCACCAGGAACATTGGAGCAAGGGCGATAATTCTCGCATTAGACCTCCTCTTTAACTACACTGCTAACCTGTAGAAATTTTTAAAACATCACCCATGGAGATTTTTAAGTACCACAGTTTCACGCCATTCCACGAGCGTGCACAATTTTAAAGCGTGGCATGTTGGGTATCTATTTACTCGCCGTAACATCCTCTTTCATATGTTAAAAAAAAATATGGGATATATTGTTTTTTTAATCAAAGGGTATATTTTTCCAAAAAATATATATTCATTCTTAAAAACTGTGCATTTCTGTTTCCATCCAAGTGCATTTTGAATTTTCAGTTTCGGCACTAGAATTTTCATTTCGGTGCACCACTGCTAATGAATATATAGCCACATTCAAGCATAATTATCGCCTTACATATGCAAAAAAATGTGCATTGTATCTGCACTTAGTTTTCGCTTATTCCTTCTACAAATTATCACAAATACCTGTGGAGCCCACCAATGCCAGTCCAGTTAAAGCTGCTTCCTGCAATGGTAAAGATACTTTATTGCTCCTGAATTGTGAGTAGAGTTTCTACTCTTATGTAGACTGTGCCTGTTTGCATTGTAATGGCATGCGAAGATGTTGCAGGTGTTTGGCTATCTACATTCCTAGATTGTAAGCTCCAAGGAGCAGGGCTCTCAAATCCCTCTTGTATTGAACTGTATTGTTGCTGTATTGTCTCCCGTTATATTGTAAAGCGCTGAGCAAACTGTCGGTGCTATATAAATCCTGTATAATAATAATAATATAATAATAATAATTATCAGGACTAGTTCACTTGTTAGTCATCACTTGGTCACACCTAATTCTGCCCATTGTTTTCTGAATTGGCAGTACTGACTTTCTGGCTGAAACCCCCTCCTTGTGAGCTGCAGTAAAAGCGTGTAGGGATGAATTTGGTCCAGTCAATGAAGAGAAGACATTTTTGTTTACTTTATTATGTGCATCACATAAACTGGATTTGGTAGTGGTTTAGACTGTCATACAGGCATTTTTTTAGTTGTACTAATATTTTTGTATTTTCAGAAGATTAACCACCTCCGCTCCGGAAGATTTTACCCCTTTCATAATCAGGCCATTTTTTCTCATTGTACTCTATTTAAATTGCAATTGCGCGGTCATGCAACGTTGTATACAGATGAAATGTATAATTTTTTTTTTCACACAAATAGATCAGTCTTTTGGTGGTATTTTATCACCACTGGGTTTTTATTTTTTTATATAAACGAAAAAAAACCTGAAAATTTTGGGGAAAAATTTTTTTTTGTTATAAAGCATAGCCAATTAAAAAAACTTATCCAATTTAAAAAAAAAAATCTAATTTCTTCATTAATTTTAGGTCAAAATGTATTCTGCTACATGTCTTTGTTTAAAAAAAAAATCCCAGTAAGTGTATCATTTAGTCTGTAGATAACTGTTGGCATCCGCAAACTATGGGCTATAATATGTATAGGCTATATATATATATATATATATATATATATATATATATATATATATATATATATATATATATATATATATATATATATATATATATATGAAAATATATATATGAAAATCAATCAATCCAGATGTACTGACGGTTGATCTAATTTCTGGAGGTCCTTAAAATACCCAGACACTAC